CCCCCCCCCCCCAGGGCTTTGCCTGCACCCCCAAACCAGCTGCTCCCCAGAACGGTGGCAGGGAAGTCAATTAAATAGGATCCCCCCAAGTTGTGCGTCACGGGCAGGCCGAATTCCGGTCTGGGAGTGCGGGGTCATGGCGTGTTTCTTCATTAAAAATTAAAACCTCCCCGGCCAACTGAAGTTGTGAAAACAGAAGTGCGTGTCCTGCGTATGCAGCACAATAGGCAGGCGGAGGGACGCAGGCAGGGGACGGCTGCCGCGCTGAGAAACCGTCCAGATTCGCCCCACGGGCTGCGGCGAGCAAGGGGAACCGAGATCCCCGGGGTCTCCGACATCCTCCTGAGAGACGAAGACAAAATGGAGACAAATGGTCGAGCGAACGGGTAAACTGAGAAAGATGGGCAGATATGTCACGCAAAGAGATTACGTAAACACGCAACTGTGCAACAACATGCCCTGTGATCTTTGGCACTGCTTTCCCCGCAGGTCATGCAAGAGAGATGCTGTATGACTCTACGGCATGTCCACCACGGCATGGCCTCCACGGCCAGGAGACCCTTCCACTGCCCCGACGCCTGCCGGCGATGCTGCCGCGAGCGCCGTACCACCGGTAGGTATCCCCGCCATCGGTGCCGCACGCAGGTGATGCTAAAGCGCCGAGGCTGAGGTTAAATCCGAGTGCTCGGGTTCTGAGGAGTGGGCAGGCAGAAGGCAGCGTGAACCCCAGTTTACGGCCTTCCCGCTCCTCCCAGTTCCACTTTGGTGCAGGACAAGTCGTTTCTCCCGTCTGGTGGTACATTGCCTTCACCGCCGGGATTCTCCGGCAGGCCCCAAGCTCCCCTGTCAGCCCCTGGAAAAGTGAGGAGTTTAAAAGAAACTCTTTTTTTTTAATTAGAAACAAAGCAAAGCAAAGTGTTTTCAGGTACAAGCAGTTCAGCCAGGGAATGGGAGTTATTTACGGTGGGGCCCCGCTGTTGCACGTCACGCGTGGACAGGCTGTCCTGGCGGCGCGGCGTGTCGGATGAGGCCCCAGCAGGCTCCGGCGGCTGCCGGTACCTCCCTCC